GCAGCTAAGCTAAATGTTTCATTGAATTTTACCCTGTTTTCCAACCTTTTCTTGCCACAGCCGTCAAGTGAATCACTGCGGTTGTTAAGTTAGTCACTCGGTTGTTAAGTGAACCTGGCTTCCCCATTCTCTTTGCAAGTCAAAAGGTCACAAAAGGGGATTGTGTGAGCCAGGACACAGCCAGCATCATAAATATGAGTCGGTTGCCAAGCATCTGAATTTGAATCACCTGATCATGGGGGTGCTTCTGTGGTCATAAAGTGTGAAAACGGTCGTAAATCACTTTTTTTCAGTGCCGTTGTAACTTCGAATAGTCGCTACACGAATGGTTGTAAGTCAAGGACTACCTGTATGATTTAACCATTCTAAAACCTGAAAAATACAGCGACTTTCCTGCCTGTTTGTTAAGTAAGCTCTCAACATACTTGGCCAAGAGATTAGCAATACTAGCGTTTATTGGCATAAAGTCTGACAAAATATTGTCTGGAAAGCGTTTAAGGTTCTTCTTCTTAATCTTCTCAAATGGGAAGGGGGTTCCTGTTGTGGGAGAAAATATTTTAGGGTAGTTCTGACTGGGCAGTTATGCATCTACCTAATAACAAAAGACAGAGGTTTATAGTTGTTGTCTTTTTTTAAAGGTGATTATTTTCATTTTAAATATTTCAGGAAGTCATTTTGCCCAAAGCACTCTAGTAAATCTATAAGCCCCATAAAAAGCTCAAGTCTTATCAAGTAGAGCTGAAATTCCCTGTAACTTCATTTCATTTGACATTTTCTTGGCAGCCCTGTGGAAATGGTGCGGCTTTTGATCCTTTTTACAAATTCTTATATCCCTAAGATTTGCTTGAAGTTACCTATCCAAATATTAGCCAGCTGTGTCCTCAGGTTTAGACCTATTCACTTACGTTCTACTATCTGTGAATGTTTGGAAAAACAGGACAGGTTTGAGATACAGGTAGTCCTCAACTTATGACCACAATTGAGCCCAAAATTTATGTTGCTAAGTGAGACAGTTGTTGAATGAATTTTGCCCCCTTTTACGACCTTTCCTGCTCCCGTTGTTAAGTGAATCAGGGCAGTTGTTAAGTTAGTAACACGGTTTGCTTAAGTGAATTCTGGCTTCCCCCTTTGACTTTGCTTATCAGATGGTCACAAAAGGGGATCTCTTAGCAACGGTCATAAATATGAGTCGGTTGCCAAGCATCTGAATTTTGATCACGTGACCATGGGGGATGCTGTAATGTTTATAAGCGTGAACTGTCAGAAGTAACTTTTTTCCAATGCCGTTTCAACTTTAAACAGTCACTAAACAAGTGGTTATAAGTCAGGGGCTCTCTGCATTATCAAGAATTGCTATAACTTTGGATTTTAAGCCTCTGAAAATTTTAGCTCCAGTTAAAAAGATGCTCCTTTAATTCTATGCACACAAAAGCTGTACGGCCAAAAATGCCTTTTGTATGCACAGGTGGCACTTGTTGGCAGTTCCTTGAAGGCAAATGCATCATTTTTGGAATGGTGTACCAGATGCTGAAGGCCACAGTGCAATCTGTGCTACCTAATTTCTCAAGGTCACACCTGTGTATCTAATGTATGTTAAATGCTGCTTTATTTGCCTGCATCAGCAGAAATGATAAGAGCTATTTTCTGACACTATCGGGCCTTTAAAAAAAAAAAACCCAATGAAATACAACTAAACACAGATTTCTATAGTTCTGGGAAGAAACATGGTATTCTAAGTCCCAAAGGTGCTTTTTTTCAAAGAGGCAACTGGACTTTCCAGTTTTGCTTTGAAGATGTTTCGCTTCTCATCCAAGAAGCTTCTTCAGCTCTGACTGGATGGTGGGGAATAGAAGGATTTATATTCCTTGCAGACAGCTGGTCATCTGCATCCTTTTAGCAGGTTGTTATGCAAATGACCATCTGCCTGCAAGGAATATAAATCCTCAGCTCTGCTGGCTGAGGAACTCTGGGAGTTGAAGTCCACAAGTCTTAAAGTTGCCAAGGTTGGACGCCCCTGTGTTAGCACATGAATTAGTGGTTGAACGAGATAAAAGGAGTTCCAAATCCATTTCTCCCTATTCCTTGTGCAAGAGATTTTCCTCTTCCCATAGCAAGTTCTTCAGGGTTTGAAAAAGGAAGAGGAGGCGTATAGTTCTCCTATAGAAGAAGGAATAGGGGTGAAGGGAAGGACTAGGGGTGACATGATAGCCGTCTTCCAGTACTTGAGGGACTGCAGAGAAAAGAAGAAATCGACGTATTCTCCAAAGCACCTGAGGGCAGGGCAAGAAGTAACGGATGGAAGTTTATCATCCAACCTAGAACTAAGGAGAAATTTCCTGACAGTGGGAGTAATCAATGGATAGAACATCTTTCCTCCAGAACTTGTGGGTGCTCCATCACTGGAGGTTTTTAAGAAGAGGCTGGACAGCCATTTGTCCAGAATGGTGTACGGTCTCCTGCTCAAACGGGGGGTTGGACTAGAAGACCTCCAAAGTCCCTTCCAACTGTGTTATTCCATGTTCTGTATTCTGAACAGTATTCCCTTGGATACCCTTCTGAAAGTAAATATTTACAGCCCTTTTTTACGATCCTTTGAATGATAAATGCACAGTGCTTTGAATCAATAAAGCCGTCATTATTCATGTGCATACATATTTTTTTCCTGAATTGCCTTGTTTGGTGACTTGACATACTGCAAGTATATACAGATGTCTCTGAAAGTCCTCTGACTTACATGCCTCTGACGGCAGAAGCAATTGACCCAGACAGTTGGGGCATCCCTTCACTGGATGTTTCCAAACACTGGCTGGATGGCCATTTATGTATCATGAGTGCTTTAACCTGGATTCCTTCACTGAGTAAGGGGATTAGATCTGAGAGCTTCAGTGATGCCTTCCAATTTGATGGTTTTTATGGATTAGGTCAGTGGTGGAAAATGTTCTAGACTCCACGTTTCAAATGTTCAGAAAATGCCTAATGACACTGCTGGTGTGTCTCCTCCCCCGGAACAAAAGAGACGGTTGCAGGAACTGGGTAAGTCTAGTCCAAGAGTCGGCAACCCACAGCTCTGGAGCCACATGTGGCTCTTTCATCCCTCTGCTACAGCTCCCTGTCGCTCAAAATATGCGTCACAACCACAATTTATTCAGCTTTTCAATCCCCGGTAGGCCAACTATGGATAAATCCAAGAAAAGTTTCAGAAGAAAACAGAACATTTAATGGTAGGTCGGCAGAGTCAAAATGGTTTGGTGGCTCCCGGTGTTTCCTTTACTGTGGAAAGCGGGTCCAAATGGCTCTTTGATTGTTTAAGGTTGCCAACTCCTGGCCAAATCTAATGAAGGACTAGGGGTGACATGATAGCAGTCTTCCAATATTTAGAGCCATGGTGGCACAGTGGTTAGAATGCAGTAATGCAGGGCTAACTCACTGCTCACTCCAGGAGTTCAATTCTGAGTGGTTCAAGGTTGACTCAGCCTTCCACCCTTCCGATGACGGTTAAATTTTATTTTATTTTTATTTTATTTTTATTTGTCAATTACCTACAAGATAATAAGTATAAGTAAAAACATAGTTATGAATACATGGATACATATAAGAAAAATAAAAAATTCGGTAGGCACGTTGAAGTCTGGTGGCATAAAGTATTCTGCAACGGGTAGAGGAGTGGAGAATTCTTCCTGCGAAATATTTCTGGACTTTCTCAACTGTGTTAATATCAGATACGTAATGTGGGTTCCAGACTGATGAGCTGTATTCGAGTATTGGTCTAGCAAATGTTTTGTATGCTCTAGTAGTTAGTAGTGTAATATTACCAGAGAAAAAGCTACGTAAGATTAGGTTAACAACTCTTAAGGCCTTTTGGGCTATGTAGTTACAATGGGCTCCAGCACTTAGGTCATTAGAGATAAGTACTCCAAGATCCTTGACAAAGTTTGGATCATCAACAAGGTCTTGACTACTCAGCCTGTATTTTATTTTCTGATTTTCTTTTTGCCAATATGTAAGACAGAGCATTTATTTGTTGAGATTTGAAGTTGCCATTTGTTTGACCATTCTGGTACATAGTCGAGGACCCAGATTATTGGGGAGCAATATGCTGACTCTGTAAACTGCTTAGAGGGCTGTAAAACCCTTGTGAAGCAGTATATAAGTCTAAGTGCTATTGCTATGGCTATTTAAGGGGCTGTCACAGAGAAGAGGGGGTCGATTTATTCTCCAAAGCACCTGAGGCGATGATGGGATTCAATTTTTTTTTACTACCGGTTCTGTGGACGTGGCTTGGTGGGCGTCAGAGTGGGTATTTGCTGGTTCTCTGAACTACTCAAAATTTCCGCTACCGGTTCTCCAGAACTGATCAGAACCTGCCGAATCCCACCTCTCACCTGAGGGCAGGACAAGGAGTAACGAATGCAAACATATCAAAGAGAGATCCAACCTAGGACTAAGGCGAAATTTCCTGACAGTGAGAACAATTAATCAGTGAAATGGCTTCTTCCAGAAGTTGTGGGAGAATGCTCTTTCTCACAGCCCCTGTAGTCTTTGAAAACCACCAAAAGTCCACCCTGTTCTTGTGTAATTTTCCAAGGCTCCGGATGATGCACGAGAACACGTCCTTCTTGTGGGACATCCAAAGAGCACTTCTTGCAGAGCCCCCTCAAATCACATGAGAATGGGTTGTGTTTTCGAGAATAGCTGCTGCCAGACCTTAGTGAACACCGGCACAAAAATGTTGTTGTGTGTCACCTTTGACCTGGGCATCCTAGGTTCACCGTCACTGCCCTAGCCTCTTTTCCTGTTCAATATATTGAATGGTGCTAAGTAAACCTGGGTTGCTCTGCGCTGCAAACCTCCCATTAAGGGTTTTTTGTTCCACAAAAGCAATCCGCGTTCCTGGAATTCTCCTTTGAGCTTTGTTGCCTGCGTAAAGTGGCTGACACGGCACCCTTTTAAAGGCACCGCTTTCATTTGTCTTGACTTTGATCGCCTTGGCTTTTACGCAGTGGAAGAATCGGATATCATCGACCTCGAGAAACGCTACTGGCTCCTGAAAGCTCAATCAAGAACAGGCCGTTTTGATCTGGAAACGTTTGGCCTCCTGGTTTCCCCTCCGATCCACCCATCCCTAAGCGAAGGTATGTAAATTTCGTTGACAATCCAGCTCTTCTTGGTTTTCTTTCAGTGCGGGGATCCCTCAACGTACGGCCACTGCGCAGCCCAAAACTCCTGTTGGGGAGTGAGAGAGATGCTAATTCTGTTTTGCCCCCGTTGTACGACCTTTCTCACCATAGTTGTTAAGGGAATCCCGGCAGTTGTTGTTAGTAACCCCGTTGTTAAGTGAATCCGGCTTCCCAGTTGTCGGAAGGTTGCAAAAGGAGATCACATGATTCCAGGACTCTGCAACCGTCATAAATATGAATCAGTTGCCAAGTGTCTGGATTTTGATCATTTGACCCCGCCCCCAAGGATGCTGCAACGACCGTAAGTGTGAAAAGGGTCGTATAAGTCATTTTTTTCAGATCCGTTGTAACTTTGAATGGTCACTACATGAACTGCTGTAAGTCAAGGACTACCTGTATTTAGCGAAATTGTGTAGGTTTCACAGCAGTCCCAATACGCACGCTCCTAGAGGTTGGTCCCATCTCAGAATTCATCTCTGTACAGGCAACAAATACTGAACTTGTAACAACTGCATTAAAAGTTTATGTAGTTGACCCACTTCATAAGGGCCTAAAGGAGAGGGACACAGTTTGCCCCATAGAAAAGGAAGCCATGAAGAGATAAGCGCTTAACAGGAGGCAAATCTTGAGCCTGTAATCCCTTCTAGATTTGCCTGCTTTGAATTCTGGGAATTGTAGTTATAAGCCACCTGGAGACAACTGAATGGAACACTGTTCCATTCCCCCTTGTGGTGGATAAGGGATGCAGCCATAGCAGAAATAGACAAGAATTGTTAATTGTCACCAAGACCCAGGGGGTCTCCAAACCGGCCAACTTCAAGACTTATGGACTTCAACTTCCAGAATTCCCCAGCCCATTGTCAAGTTTGGGAACCCCCGAACTAGACAGAAAGGAACGACCGTTCTTTAAGTATGGTAACTTTGAATGGTCAATAAATGAACTGTTGTAAGTCAAGGATTACTTGTACCTCAGGGATCCACAACCTGTAGGCCATGGCCTATTCGCAACCAGACCATGCCTGCCCCCTCACACAAAACCATCCCCTCTTCCCCCACTTTCCTCCCTGCGCTGGTCCATCAACCCGGAAAAATTGGAGAACCCTGCTGTATATGAAGGAAGGAAGGGACATTACTGTTCTGACCAAGATCATGAAGCAGACTCCTCGTCCGATAAAACCCCTTTTATTTAGGTTAAAGGGAATTCCTCTCCAGCAAAGTCCATGCAATCTTTCATGAGATTTCACAACTACAGAGCTTTATCAAGGCTTGGAGAGTTGCCAGGCCAATATCTCCCAAACGCCACACTGTAGCAGCAATTACTTGGTAAGAAGTCAGGAACAGGTCTTCACTCTAATGAGTTGAACGAATTGTCTCGTGCAAGCACCACTCTCCTTTTGCTCCTCTTTATTCCCTATGGCAGGGGTCTTCAACCTTGGCAACTTGTGGACTTCAACTCCCAGGATTCCTCAGCCAGCAAAGCTGGCTGAAGAACTCTGGGAGTTGAAGTCCACAAGTCTTAAAGTTGCCAAGGTTGGAGACCCCTGCCCTATGGGAGGGGCCATTTACCATCCATCTGAGCCTTTACTCCAGAGTCTATCCTTGTTCCTTAACTGTTTCCCTTCTCCTGGCAGCTCTGTGCATGCGCAAACTGGGAACAGGCTCCAGCTGTTGTTCTGCCCCACTGATCTCCAATTCAGGATGCCGCTGATAACTGTCAGACAGCCCTGGCCCTGTGTCTGCCTCCGGTGCAGAGCCCTCGTCAGAGCCTTCCCCAGACTCCAGGACTGGCCCATGTTCCCCCACAACTTCCTTACTGTCCAAGTCTGCCGCCAGCTCCGCTGGGTGCTGGCAGGCCACAACAATTACCATCAGACTGGTAAAATTCAATTATAACCAACCTCAGTAAAGCACAGTTGAAGTTTTCCTGTGGAGTTGGTTTTCTGGTCTGGTCTAGGCCTGACATCCTTCTTCTTTCTAAGCGTTCCAAAGTTGGGATGATGGAAGTAAAAACATGGAAACAAAATTGACATATGAATGGTGACATATGAATGGTGGGAAAGAGAATGGAAAACCAGCAAGGAGCAGTTGGGGTAGCTGGCTCTATCTGGATTCCTGCTCTCCTTCTAGACTAGAGAGTCATTTTTTACCAGCTGCCCTCTGGAAAGAATCTCAGAAGGAGCCCCATTTTGTAAATTATTCAATCAGAAACTCAGTAATTGCAATGATTAAAATAAATCAATAAAAACGATGGAGAAACCGTTAAGGCTGACCATATGGCACCTGCGTTTCTCCTTTTGTAAGATGCCAGTCAAATACTAGACTAAGAAATGAACAGGGGGGGAAAAAGTCCAGTATATTAAACCATGATTCCCTGGAATAGGTGCCTGGCTAGAGATTTCCATCTTCGGGTGCACGTGAGTAGTGTGTAGGCTACTCAGTACAGGTAGTTCTCTCCTTAGGACCACAATTGGGACCAGAACTTCCATTGCTAAGCACGGCAGCTGTTCAGTGAACCACACCCAATTTTACAACCTTTCTTTGCCAGGTGGTTAAGTGAATCACTGCAGTTGTTAAGTGAATGATATAGTTGTTAAGCGAATCCGGCTACCTCCGTTGACTTTGCTTGCCAGAAGTCCGCTGGGAAGGTTGCAAATGGTGATGACCTGACTCCAGGATGTTGCAACCATCCTGAATACATGGAGTTGCCGAGCGCCTGAATTTTGATCCGATGCCTGTGGGGATGCAGTGATGGTCATAAGTACAAAGACCAAGTCATAAAAGTTACTTTTTTTTTTACAGCCATTGTAATTTGAAACGGTTGCTACACAAATGTAAGCTGAAGACTACCTGGGTCTCATCCCGTGGTGGTGCAGTGGTTAGAAGGCAGTATTGCACTGCCCACTGCCAGCAGTTCGATCTTGACTGTCTCAAGGTTGACTCAGCCTTCAATCCTTTTGAGATCGGTAAAACGAGGACCCAGATTTGGGGGGCATTGTGCTGACTCTGTAAACTGCTTAGAGAAGGCTGTAAAGCAGTCTAAAGCGGTATATAAGTCTAAGGGCTATTGCTAGTATTGGATGATGTTATTATGGCCATCCAAAAGACTCTGGGGGACTTACAACATCAAATATACAGTTATAGGTTTGTTTTAATGTTAAGCAATTAGTTCAAGATTGAAATGATTATCATATCACGAATATCTTAACAGTGGTTAGAATGCAGTATTGCAGGCTAACTCACTGCTCACTGCCAGGAGTTCGATCCTGACCGGCTCAAGGTTAATTCAGCCTTCTGTCCCTTCGAGGTTGGTAAAATGTGGACCCAGATTTTCGGGGGCCATTTGCTGACTCTGTAAAACCACTTAGAGGGGGCTATAAAGCACTGTGAAGCAGTATAGAAGTCTTAAGTGCTATTGGTATCTCAGCTAATGAAACCATATGATTTGATTGGCAAATTGGTCGCTACCTATAACTGCTTTGGGACCTTTTGCAGGCCTGTTTAACGCCTTTGATGAAAACCGCGACAATCACATAGACTTCAAGGAAATCTCGTGTGGGCTCTCGGCTTGCTGCAGGGGGCCACTGGCAGAACGGCAGAAGTGTGAGTATGGCTAGGAGCAGTGGTGGGATTGAAAATGTTTTACTACCAGTTCCGTGGGCGTGGCTTGGTGGGCGTGGCAGGGGAAGGATACTGTAAAATCCCCATTCCCTCCCAACCCCACTAACCTGCTTTCCAGCTCCGTTCTCCTGTGCAGGGCAACCAAAGGAGACCCAGCCAATCAGCTGGGACTCAGTGGGAGGCAGAGAAGAGATGGGGTTGGCGGGGCCAGTCACGGGTGGGATTTGCTGGTTCTCCCAACTACTCAAAATTTTTGCTACCGATTCTCTCGAAACTGTCAGAACCTGCTGAATCCCACCTCTGTTTGCTTCCTTCCTTCCTTCCTTCCTTCCTTCCTTCCTTCCTTCCTTCCTCCCTCCCTCCCACCCTCCCTCCCTCCCTCCCTCCAGTGGTGGGATTCAAATATTTTTACTACCAGTTCTGTGGCCGTGGCTTGGTGGGCATGGCAGGGGAAGGGTACTGTAAAACCCCATTCCCTCTTCACCCCACTAACCTGCTTTCCAGCTCCGTTCTCCTGTGCAGGGCAACTAAAGAAGACTCAGCTGATCAGCTGGGACTCAATGGGAAGCAGAGAAGAGATGGGGGCGGGGCCAGTCAGAGGCGGGATTTGCCAGTTCTCCGAACTACTCAAGATTTCCACTATTGGTTCTCCAGAACCGGTCAGAACCTGCCGAACACCACCTCTGGCTAGGAGGCTTCCCAGGCACCCCTTCGGGTGTTACAGGTGTTCCCAGGTTCCACTTAGGATGGATCACTCACACAGTCTTAGCCCCAGAAAATAGCCATACAAATCATTTTCACTGGTATGCAGAGGCATAACCGCTTTTTTGGCCTACATGGAGACCTGGGGAATTTAAAATCACAGCAAAATTTTCCAGGTTACTGAGAGGTCCTTGGTACCCTCTGAGCTTGGTTATTTTTCTTGTAGGTGTTTTATTACCCAAACTAGTCTTTTCTGGTTACTGGTTTACTGGGTACTACAGGGGTCCCAACCTCCGGGGTGTGTCTTATTCGAACTATGCGAGTGGCTGGCCAGATCAAGCGAATGTGCATGCGCAACTCAACATGTATGAGTGATGGGCCGGCAGGGGTGGGCCAGGAGGCACTCATGCACGTGCGTGCCAGCCCACCATTTGCACAAGGGCTGTGTGTGCGCTGGCCTGCTTCTTGCACATCCCAGTTCCCCTCTCTGCCCCAGCCGTCTCTCTTTCTCTCTCTCCTCTCTCTGTCTCTCTTCACTTTCTCTGTCTCCTCTCGTTCTGTCTCTCTCTCTCTCTCTCTCACACACACACACTTATAGACTCATAGTATCATAGGGATGGAAGGGACCTTGGACATCTTCTACTCCAGAGTTCCTCCGGTGGGGAGAGGGGCTGGTTCCACACGAGCTGTGAGCGCCTGTCACTCACGCAAATAGAGCATGCATATGTGTTAGTCCACTGCTCACACAACTGGGGATGTGCTTGTGTTGTCTTACCATCCACTTCCGCGGCCTGGTTCCAAATGGCTCCTAGCTAAATGGTTGTCCAACCTATTTTTGAAACCCTCCAGTGATGAAGCACCCACAAGCCCAGGAGGCAAGCTATTCCATACTGCACGAGTCAAAAAGAGGGTTGTGAAAATATTTACAGTCCCCTCACATCCCGGACATAAACTGTTTCAACTCCTCCCCTCAAAACGATGCTATAGAGCACTGCACACCAGAACAACTAGACACAAGGACAGTTTTTTCCCGAATGCCATCACTCTGCTAAACAAATAATTCCCTCAGCACTGTCCAACCATTTACAAAGTCTGCACTACTATTACTATTAACCTTCTCATCACTCCTTATCACCCATTCCTTCCCACTTGTGACTGTAGGACTGTAACTTTGTCGCTTGTATCCTTACGATTTATACTGACTGTTTCCTAGTATGATTTTATTGCTTATTTTACCCTGTGACTATTATTAAGTGTTGTACCTGATGATTCTTGGCTCTTGACGAATGTCTCTTTTCTTTTATGTGCACTGAGAGCATTTGCACCAAGACAAATTCCTTGTGTGTCCAATCACGCTTGGCGAATAAAGAATTCTATTCTATTCTCACTGGCAAAGAAAAAAAAAATTCCTTATTTCTAAGTGAGAAATTTTCCCAATACCCATGCTGGAATTACGGCAGAGCCTTTGAGAGGCATTTTAAAGCTCGTGTCTTTTGGGAAACCATCTTTCGAATATAACATGAGTGGAATTTATTGATGGGCTCTAAGCTTGTCTTGCTTCTTCTGTGATTTTATTGCTTTTACTCCTTGGAAATGTCAAAGTATCTGAATGACACACACAGACGCAGACATAAACATGTGGTATACCCTCCCCCCCCCCCCCCCCCCCCCCGACATTTGCTGCTGTTTCCTCCTGGGTACGTAGAACAGTGTTTCTCAACTTCAGCCAACTTTACACTGAGAGGACTTCAACTCCCAGAATTCCCTAGCCAGCAGGCATTCTTGGGATCATGCTGGCTGGAGAATTCTGGGAGTTGTAGTCCACTCATCTCAGCGTTGTTTAGGTTGAGAAACACGGTGATGTAGAGGTTGATCAGATCTCCCTCTTTAGGGATAATATGCAAAAACAGAGCTCAGTTTATTGCCTGCACTTTTTTTCCTCCTTTTTTCAGGAAAAAAAGAACCTTTCCACATCTGCCTCCCTAATCTGCATTTTTAAGGCTCCTGTATTCTCCCTCCTCCCTTTATTATTATTCTTTCCTCTATGGGTGCATGCACACATTAAGGAAATATAATCTCCCATGATGGTTTTGAAAATGAGAGCTTTTAAAAGCTAATTCCTAATCATCTCCCGGCTCTATTAATTCCGTATATTATTGTGAGTTACTCTCATTTGACGTCAATTACAATCAATTTTCTGGAAGAGGTTGTCTGGTTCATTGGTAGTCGATAACCCCCCCCCCCATTTTTTGTTTTTTTTTGTTTTGGCTGGATTTTAATTTCTCTTTAATAAAATATTCATAAGCACAAACAGTTAGCTCTGTGTATGGTACTGACATTTGTGTATACGTGGATGGAGTATGTGGAGAGCCTGTGTGTTGCAAATGCCAATATTTGCTCTTTGGAAAAAGAAGAGTAAACAGATTATACTGTTTATTGCATCTCTGGTGCTGGTGTATTGCTGTCCCTTCGCTCTCTGAAATAGATTTCCTCTCTCTAATGGAGGCCACTCTTCAAAAAGGTCTCTTGTGAGTCCTTTTAACTATGCCCTGTTTGCAGCTATTCCCTCCCATGTATCTGCATGTGTCTGCATTAAACTCAAGATAGCATCCATAACACCCCCTTCTTCTATTTTCCCCATAACTACAACCCAATTTCATCTCTAGGTCGCTGGGCTGAGAGAGAAGGACTGGCCCAAAGTTACCCAGCAGCTTTCAAGCCTGAGGCAGAACTAGAGCTCACCGTTTCCTTCTCCGCTAATTCTGTCATCTTCACAATCCATTCCTTAATTACGGGCATTTTCAGCTTTTGCACATCTTTGTGCGTACGAGAATCTGGTTGCAGTTCCCGCATATAAAACCGGTCTTTCACATCTTTTCTAATCCGCTATCCATAAGTTAAAAAAAAACCAAACCCACCCAGTTCTGGTTTCATCTCAGTCTTCAAAATCTTTTGAGTCGCTATCGGCTGTTCTGTTCTGACTGTTAGAATAACCACTTCTGTCTCTTTCAGTTTGCTTCAAGGTTTTCGACGTTGATCGAGACGGGGTTTTGTCCAAGGTTGAACTCGAAGAAATGGTTGTGGCTCTTCTGGAAGTTTGGAAAGATAATCGTATTGATAACATTCCAGTAAGTTGCATTCAACATTGATATTAATTAAACAAGGACTGCCTATTTGGGCAGTGGTTTTGCTCTGCAAGCTTCTTTCAACTTACTTTCCGAACGTTTTGTTACCACACTAGGTAATGTCATCAGCAGGATTGTGTCGTCCGATTCCTCTTTAGCTTATAAATGTCTCATTTGCCCATGTGGTTGGGTGGTTGGGTGATTGGTTGTTCGTTTGGAGCGATATTTAAATTCTGAGCAGCTGATTGATTCTCTTGTGGATTGGACATTGTAACGGTCTGGTTTGTTTATTTGTGTATTTTATTTATTTAGAAATTTATATCACTGTCTACTCACACATGGCGACTCAAGGTGGCCTACACGGATATAACAACAGTATATAAAAGAAAATTTAAAAATAAGAAGAAAAATAATAAAATAATAAGCTCTCACCCTGGTGACAGCACACCCTCACACTAACCATTTAATGGGCTCCATCCTGCTCTGGGTTCCCCAGGCCCGCTTGGCAGAACCACGTCTTCAGGGCCTTCTGAAAGAGTATTAGAGTGGGGGCCAGTCTAACCTCCAGGGGGATGATGTTCCAGAGAGAGGGAGCCACCACGAAGAAGGCCCTTCTCCTGAGTCCCACCAGATGGGATAGGGCAGGCAAAGATCCTCAAAGCTGTAGTCTATGGTAGCCAAAAATCAGGAGGCACTTGCTTGCTGAGTCTGAAATTGAAAATAAAGTAGACTTGTCTTCTGCTTAACCATCTGGCTAGTTTGAGTGTTTCATACTAATCCCTCAGTGCCTTAACTTGCACAGAGTGTTTTAAAATATATTGCTTGTCTATCAGTCTGCCTACCTATGAATCCACCTGTCTGTCAGTCTGTGTCTGTCTATCAATCGATGTCTGTCTTTATTGTCTGTCTAGCTATCTAACTATCTAGTTATCTATGCATCTATCTATAGCTATCTTCATCGTCGTCTATCATTTATCGATCTATCAATCTAATGATCTATTAGATTTATATGTCGCCTCTCTCACTGTAGAAATGTGAGTGCTACTTTTAATAATGATTGACAGGACTTTGATCAGAAACTTTCACATTCTATAAACCGATTTATCAGGAAGATTCATAAAAATCAGACAAAATAGTCTGAATCCAGATTCGATCTGTCATGGATCAGACCAGCTAAAATAAGGGGCAGGTCATTTGCTGCTCATTTACAGCTCATTGATTTTAGCAGATCTGCACACTGTGGATTCAACCCAGCATTCTTACTTTTGGGGTCTATGTACGTCGACCAAAATAACCCTCGAAATAAGGTTCTTAACTTTCATGGGATCTTCCTGTTCTTTTTTTCCCCCACAAGGAGCTGCACATGAATTTGCCTGATATTGTAGAAGATATTCTAAAGTCACACGACACTACCAAGGTAAGAAAGGGCAGCTGTATCTCATTATCCCTTATTGTGTGATTTGAGAAATAGCAGTGCAGAAATAGCTTCAAGAAACTTGAAATGGCCTCTGTGTCAGGGTTCCCAAGGATGCCCTAATTAAACCATGAGCCTCGAGCCAAGTTTCAAAAGAAATCCAGTTATTTATTAGGAACAACATGTTGACACATACCCAAATGAAGTCAGCTCTGCCTGAGGTAATTTACGGCCCACCTATGATCCTGTTCCCCCCCACTCCCCCAGAGTGTGTCATAAATCACATTCTCCAACGGAGCACTTTGTGGGCTGTAGAAATCATGCCTCTCCGGTTGGTCCCGGTAGCCTGGGATACAGTCTTGAAGAAGGTATGCGTGGGATGTGCTTCTGGTTGTGGCTCCTGCTCCGTCAGTCCCCACCCCCACCCCATAGTAACTCGAGAGTAGGCCAGGAACGCTTTACGAGTTGATACTCTGAATTGGAGCACAGTGAGGCTGAGCCAAGCTGCTGAGTTAACTCGTGGAAAGTCTGTTTACTGTGAAAGAAGCCAAAGAGGATAAAAAGCATCAAAGGAGATAATTTATTTACTTTCATTTATTCATCATTACTTACCATATATGGTGGCAGAAATCCACTAAGCTAACAGATGCAATTACACTCACTGTTTTCACAGATAGTAAAATTATAGAAAAATTATTGTTAAATATGTTTTAAAAATTGGTCTATCCCATCTGCTGGGCTTTCGCTGTTCCGCTAACATTCTCCTAAGCTCCTGAAATATGGGAAAGGTTAGGAGCAATGATGGCACAGTGGTTAGAATTCAACATTGCAGGCTAATTCAGCTCACCGCCAGCAGTTCGATCCTGATCGGTTCAAGCTTGACTCTGCCTCCCATCTTTCCGAGGTGGGTCAAATGAGGACCCAGATTGTTGAGGGCAATATGCTGACTCTGTAAACTGCTTAGAGAGGGTTGCAAAACACTGTGGAAGTGCTGTTGCTTGAGAAGGAAGGAAAGGAAGGAAGGAAGGAAGGTGACAGGAAAAAGGGAAAGGAAGGGAAGGAAGGAAGGAGGGAGGGAGGAAGGAA